TAAGCTACATGGCGTGTTTTTGATACAAAATCCAGACGTTTTTCAAATTGAATATCAATAACGCTCTTTATTCTCACCAACTAATTTTCTAACGATCTGTTTCTATTCAAATCTTCACGTTTCCTCTACTACATCACACTAATTATTTTTAACATAAAGGCAAGAAATAAATTGGTTTCGATTTGGATTTCGAAGCATATTTCAAAGAAAAACACGAAATTCAATTGCCGGTGTAAATACACGAGTCAACTAGAGGCAAATTGAGGTGATTATTTGAATATGTTAGAGTAGAATTAAGAGCTATGATTACATCTTAGAAGATAAAGACCTCAGGGTATTGGTTAGATAATCTCAAAGTAGTAAATTATAGCCGTCGGCTCACCTTTATTTAGTCTCTTCTCTTGAGATTTAAATAAATACGACATATAGATAGCCAGGAGATAGATGAAATGGTAACATAGTTACGGTGATGAAATTATAATAGATAGTGTGAAGATGTCTCAAAAGAAATCGTTCATTATACGTATCATTATTATTGTGGATATGCGAAAATTCCTAGAAGGAAGTGAAATCAAATTGAATGGAGTTTTACGTCCTACTTTTCTGTATCTGCATAATCACACGAAGAAAGGAAACGCTCCGCAGTGTTCAATGAGGGAAAGTTGTCAAAACTGCGTCATTAGCCTACTCTTTCCTATTGGGAAATGTCGAGGTCTGTACTAGTTACTTAAACCATATATTTTTTTTATTTCTACATAGCATATGATCAAAATTATAGAATGGACCGTAAAATTACTAATAAATAAGTATATCATAAAATAAGTGTCAATCTTCACAGCTTTAAACAATTTAACAAAGCCGTTTGAGGTTCGTTAGCGAAGTTATTATTGAATTCGCTATGGGGGAAATCTCATTTTCCATGCTTTACTTCTAACTCCAACAGATATACTAACTGGTCCGTTAATTAAGAATCTAACATCACACCATGTCTGTTGGTCTGTTAGCTAATTTTATTTTCTGTTATTCTAAATATAGCACCAGGTCTCCGTGGGATGGACTCAGATTGAGTCATTATGATGTACAGGCTGGAGATGTAATTAGTATGGAATTAGACTGCTATAGATCCGTGGTCTCGTTAATTCAGAATATAGCACAATAGCCAACGGTAGTGTCATAATTAATTCCTTCGAAATATATCTATAAAAATAGATTTCCAGCATTGTGTCTTTAGATTGTGTACGCTTCTACCTAATACGAACAGAAATAGACCTCCAGGAACGTGTTTCTTGCAAGTTCTAACGCGGATTTTAGCTCACAAACTGATGTTTACTGAACATGCTGATTCTATAAAACATGAATCCAGATCAATGTCCTGCTTTTAATTAACAAGACTCTTGTTGTTTTGTCAGGAATTGTACTTTTGATGGTTCGCCATTTCGTCGATTATTTGGTTGTGAAGCTACACAAACAGAATAAACTGAGAGGTTGAAAACTTTTCTGGACCTCTGGACCCCCTTCCCCACAGAAACACCACTGAGTAGCATGCATATCATAAATTTTCAATATATAGCTATGTTTGTCCTCTATAACGACACCACACCACAATATTAATTTAGTTATTTAAAGATTTAATACATATCTTACCTGCTAACGAAAGAACGAGTAAACCTCGCATGGAATAAATATGTTGTAATCCGAAATCTCTGATCTGACACCACCTGAGATACAGTCTTTGTAATGACATCATAGTTGATATATATCCAATACCGATATCAGTCACGTGGTTACACCTGTAAATATAAACAATAGACATTAATTAGTGTTCTAGAGTAATTAGTAATCTAGTCGCATTCAAGTATGAATAGTAATTAGTAATAGTAATAAAACACAAGAACAAGAGCATAGATGGTAAGTTTCCTTATGACAGGAAGAAATAACACCCCAGTTGATAAACCCCAAAACAGTTGTGTTATGTTACACTCAAAAACAGTTGTATTACAAAACAGTTGTATTATGTTACACTCAAAAACAGTTGTATTACAAAACAGTTGTATTATGTTACACTCAAAAAACAGTTGTATTACAAAACAGTTGTATTATGTTACACTCAAAAACAGTTGTATTACAAAACAGTTGTATTATGTTACACTCAAAAACAGTTGTATTACAAAACAGTTGTATTATGTTACACTCAAAAACAGTTGTATTACAAAACAGTTGTATTATGTTACACTCAAAAACAGTTGTATTACAAAAAAATTGTATTATGGTACCACTCAAAAACAGTTGTATTATGTTATGGTGTAAAGCCCCCATCCCTCCACACACCCAGTAAAAACGGTACTGGGCACCACTAACAGAAATAGTTACTAAACTAATAGTCTAGTTGACAAACCCATACGCACAGTGGTATTAATATAATTAATAAAAAAGTTAAGTTATATTGTTAGAATTACAACTCAACTCAACTCAGTTGAGAAACAAAACAGCAGAGTGGCACCAAGATCTGTAGTAGATGCTAACAAATACTGAAACAACAATTCAGTCCAATTAAATGCAGAACGTAGGATGTAAAACTCCGTTTCATTCATATAAAGATACCAAAAGTATACAAAATTAACTATGATTAACTATGTATAGAGTGTACAAGAAGGAGAAGTCTACCCTACATCGCTACTGATACCACCGTCGTATTTATTCTAATAAAACATGAATGAAGCCTTTTGACATAGTATACACATGTATTATACAGAAATAATTAATGTAATTGCATTAATTGTTTCATCAAAGAACATCATTAAGTTCATCTACTAGTCTGTGATAAACGATAAGAGTTTGTATTCCCCACAGCAATTACCAATAATAGCATCACATTAAAAACACATAACATCAACCAGATCTAATCTAAGCGATGTACATTGGGTCATGTCAAATGTTATTATTCTGACCTCCTCCGCTAAACCGTTTACTTGGGTCAATTTCTGAGAGTTTCGGGTCACAGTTAGATTTTCGGTTATCTAAATATCTTAATAATCACCATTAAGATAAGTTGTTGAATTTTATTCAAGAGAGTTAAATTTGATGTTAAAGCCACAGTTTGAACGACTCATATATTTAACAATAAACACGATATTACGCTACATAGCTAAAATATTTTTCAACTCGCTGTGGAGTAAATTGGCATCTCCTCATGCATGTACTCAATATTTTTACTCAATAAAATTGTCAGTCGATTAGATAAAAAATATAAACAAGAAATACTTTAAACAGGGGCTTTGCTTTTCTGTTCCATCGAAAATAGATAATGTTACGATGACACCTTTGTCCGTTAAAGCACTCTTTTCAGTAGTATGGGAACTGGGCATTAAATTTTCATTTTATAATGAGAGATACTGTAGCTAGAATGGAGTTTGCTAATGAAACAAAAGCTATATCAAGAAGAAAGGGATCCGGTTCAACTATTTTTTTATGTCACAAAACAATGTTCATTTATAAAAAAAAATCTTTATGGAATATCGAAGTAAACAAGTTGATTATTGATTTTTGTACTATAAATAGAAAGTGTTTACTGGCTGTAACTTATTGGAATTGATTATAATGAACAAGTAAGCTATTAACAGTACTGCTTTTGAACTAGTTAGATAAACTTCCTGATTTAGCACAATAATTACTTTTAAATCTATTAATAATTAAATATTATTTCAATCTGATTTGGGGGCCTTTTGGGGTTAATAATGGATTTTCTTAGTCATTAGTTTGTGCCCAATTACACCATGTAGACTATCTGAAATAGATAATTCAGGCAGGTATAAGAGTCACGCAATAGGCTACCTAAAGTTTAAAGTTATGTTTGTAGTTTACAATATTGACAAACTCAATGTTACGTTACATAGCTAATACGTTATTGAACTCTTTGTGGGGGAAATCCATACTCCTTATGCATGTATACTCACTATTTCTATAAATCTCCACCAGTACTGAGTTTGAACTAGATAAAAATATCTTCCCCGTTTATCACCGAAATCATTTATAAATTTATTAACAATTGAAACCAGTTATTATTTATTATTTCAATTGATAACCCTTTGTGTCCAATCGGACTGTGTAGACTCTCTGAAACTATGTTGAACTGGCAAATCCGGAAGTTGTCACGTCTGTGGTATTCCCATAGGAAACTAAATGAGAATTTTTAAGGCGACGAAGCTGTAAATTGGTACGGATAATCTGGGAAGGATTAAATTCTAAAAGATTTGTCCAAGGACCAGAGGGAAGAAAGGATCTTCGTGAACACCAATTGTTTTTTGGGGTTTTTTTTCGGTTTTTTCTAAATGACGTGAATATAGTCCCGAGGAATCCAGGGTTTAATGTTGTCTAACCTTTATAGATCTTGTTGTAAGTATAGGAAGGTCGGTACTAAACTACCAGGGTCGTTACAGTGAATATTATTTTATCATAGAAATATCTCACGATGTTCCGGTAAAGTGCCACTTTGATTTTCACTAAGCAGTAAAAGTGTTTATATAATAAAAGTATATATTACAGAAGGTTATATGTTTTTTGTAGTGTTTTGTACTCAACTGGCCTTTTTATTGCCCACCATTAAGTTTATGGGTTCAGCTTGCCTGTTTGTCTCACTGTTTATAGAGGTACTGGATCTGTTTTACCATCCCCTTTATATCAATTAACTTCAACTGGCATTTTTAGTGTTCTCATGTTAAAAAATATGTATATACAGTCAGTTATTTCAAGATAAATGTACTTGAAACCTAAAGTTGGTTGTCTGTGAGCTATACTTTAAAGTTATAATGTCATCTAAATATTTACTTTACCAGCTGATAGAGCTCAATTTCATCTGTAGTCGACTAAATAATTATGTTCTTTACCAGCCGATAAAACTTCATTTCAACTATCTGTATAGTCGTCTAAATATTTACATTACCAGCTGACAGAGCTCAATTTCAGCTATCTGTACAGTTGTCAAAATATCGACTTTACCAACTGCTAAAGCGAAAATAATAGAAACTTTTAACTTTACTTAAAGTGGACTAGGGAGTACAAGTGGTGTCAAAGCATAGAAAGCGCTAAGAGGAATCGGAAAGGTTGCGCTAAGAAATGTACAAAACCAAATTTGGTGAGAATGTTCATCATTTTCACCACTGGAAAGATTTATATCCTTCCTAATTGACTAGAGCTCGTCCTTGTTGTCGACCGACATGTTTTTCGCATTAACAATCCTTATTAGGTCATCTTTTTTGAAAATTTCTTGTATTAGTTTGTTCTGATAATTACCTAGTTATAAAATCGATTTTATGTAGAAAGCCGGAAATTACTTTGTTTTATTATAATAAAAGTACAAAAAATGGTTTCATCTAATCAGTTTTTATTATCGTCTCTAAGGAGAAAATGACAAACTGGCGATTAATGTGGAAATTAAATGATTATTAAAAATGAGCTTGAAAGAGATATATATATAGCCGTGTAAATATTATTCTAAGAGTCTATGTGCAGGTTTTCAGCTATCTTTTGTAAAAAAGGAAACGGAGAGCACCTGCTGCAATTTATTGGTAACCGAAATAAATAATCTAAACATTTTTCACACATTACAATGCAAGAATTGTCAGGGGACCTTTGTTATACCATAGCACATTGACTTTAAGCTGTTTAAGCTCTTTCCTTCCATTTTAACAAGGATTGTTGTACATTTCTCTTTGTAATAAAGTCGACTATTACCCCTGCTTTGCAAAGTGAAGCAAAGGTTATCTCCATAACTACCCAGACTTTAAACTATGATTTTAATTCGTTTTAAGCCATATCTTGTTCTAGAATGTAAGATCATAGAATTTAATATGAAGTTTGTCGGCGAATACTCCCCCTTTTTACAATAAAAGTAAAACGAGTAATAAGATTCCTGAAATTCGGTCTGTGAGTTGAAAGACTATATAAATCATTTTTATTGACTGAACATAGAGAAAGTGCTTCATGATATTACATTTATCTTTATAATTCTGTCAAACATAATTACTAACCTTACCTATTTACCAATACAATATATAGAGTTCTATATACACAAATATACAATTAGGCCCGTTTACACGAGTTGGACTTGGACTCGCGGATTTAAAACTCTGGGATCAACTCTGTTCGTGTTTACACGAGGACAGTCTGCTAGGTCGCAATTTCAGAGAAGTCTGGGCAACCAACGATAGCGGGATGAAAATCCTTAGAAATTGTCAAATGTAAACCAGAAGAGGATAAAAAAATGGTAATAATGATGATGATGATGATTTCTAATGATTGATGCAGTGTTATCTTTGTACTGTTTTTTTCAAACAACATATTACTATAAGGGTGAAATGTTTAGTAGTATTCTAGATACACTATAAATTACTACAAACTAGATAGAGAGATATCAGGCATTTATTTTTTTATTTTGCAAGTAGAACAGCTGATAATACAGTATTTAAAATTTATTTAACTGAAAGAAACATCTTTCCTCTGATAAGCCATTCAAAGACAATTAATTTTATAGTTACAGAAAGTTTATATCCGTTATCTGGATGATATAATGAGATTTTATGTGGTTGAATTTCCTGAGAAGCCATTAAAAAGATGATAAGATTGGTTTCAGTCAAACAATACGCTAGACTGCTTGAAATTGTAATTTCCTTTTCAACTTACTGGAAGTCTAAACTTTTATTTAATAACGCATCTTTATTCCAGAGTTCCTGCTTTTGAAAATCAAATTGTATTTATCCAGGATGATATCAGGTTTAAAGACAGAGTGAACGAC